CTCTAGCCTCTTTGCTATTAAACAGAGGCACTAAAGTAGTTCTAGACCCATCCTCCACAATTGGTGCTCTATTCCCGAAGGACAATGAGTAACATTTACCTTTACGGTTATTTAACTTTGCCGAAACGTTGCGCGAAAATAACCCCTTCTTTAACTGAACGTGCGAATGCGTGCACGCATACTGCCGGATTTAATAATTCATAAAGTTACCGCTAGTTACCGCTTTCCGCGGCCATTATTCACAAAATCAACCAAGAGCGCATTTCAAGTAGCGCCAATCCGCGGCAGGCAAAACGTCCTAACGTACAAGACGACCTCGCAACAAAGTGAAAATTAAAAAAAGGTGGGGGGGGGGTATAAAAAATAACAAATGACAGCGGCGCCCGGCATTCTGTTGTGAAGGCCATCAATCAACGTGCGTCTTAACCTGCCGAGCAGTGGCACTGAAAAGGGGCTATTGCGGCTGGCCACGGGCTGCTGATCAAACCTGCTGGTTACATTGCTAACGGCTACTACAAAGGGCGTCGATCTTGTCGAGGCTCGCGGTTCGTTTGTAGTACGAGCCATCAATCTAAACTTGTCCAGCGCAGGCCCGGGCGCTCCGCACGGTCAGCAAGAGCTTTTCTTGCCGTGGCTGCGGGAAGCGAGGGATTTTTGGGGTTCGCGTGACGACAGGGCTCCCCCTCCCTCCCCCCGTTCCTTGCCCCTCTTTCACAGTTGGCCAGATACACTGGGTTTCCGATTACTATTGAAGTGGGGCAGAAATACGTTTCCGACTTGCATCACATACGCATTTGAAAAGCGAACAGTCGTGCGTAAATATTTTTTCCGACTTTTGAAGGGGACACACTTTTTCAGGGCAGTGGCAGTGTAGTCAGACAGTGTATTGCTCACGTCACTGCTGTCAGTAGTATGGTTTTAAAAGATGCAATTTCAATAAAATCGATTCTATCAAACGGATGATTGGGACTCAATGGATATTTAAACACTCGCATGACACTGCTTATGTTTTAATGCATATATAAGGAATGCGGGAGCATGGATTGGCATAGGGCTATACATTATTGTCATTATACATGTGTACGGTCTATATATTTATAATGCATATACAAAAAGCATATGCTATATACATCAATATTAACATGCGTACATATACACATAATATACATGCACAAATAAATATGCCTGTAATGTTTCATTGAGCCAAAAGTTAGTATGTGTATAACTGCCTACTGTGAGAAACACCACAACAAATACTATTTAAAGCATCCCGTTCATATCAACATGAAACAAATGCATTGTCTAATAACAAGAACAGTGGGGGAATTTGTTTTGCTGCCATCCTGTGCACAAGGGTGGACGTGATTGTGCGAAATCACACATCCCCTTTCTCAATATAAACCTGCTCGGATCGTTATCATCACATCAAAACATTGAGCCAGATTATAAACACTTCAATATAGGTTGCGTTGGATTAGAAAATACAACTTTAATAGCTACTCATGTGGTTTATTGTAAAGTCATCGATGCCTTTTGCTTATCTTAACAGACAAAATGATACTTTTTAAATTACAGATGTCCTCTAACCCACGTGTTGTTCTTTGGAACTGTAATTCCATTTTGACTCTTAACCCTTTCCATTCATAATGACGTACGTGTACGTCATCAGCTTTACTTTCGATTCCATTCCGATGACGTACACCAGGGGTGGGGAACGTCCGGCCCGCGGGCTGTATAAGGGCCGCGAAATCATTTGGTGTGGCCCTGCCAAGGCAACTGCAGGGGGGACTACGAAATTAAATAAATCTAGGAGCAAACCTGGTAAAGCAGTTGCGAGTTAGCAACATCATCAATACCAGCTAACATCGTCAATACCAGCTAACATCACACGCCTCACCAAAGAGAAGCAGTTCCAGCCATCACATTAGGGGTGAGTTAATTAAATGTTTTACCAAATATAACGGGCTAATTTTTAAGCTGATAATTTCGTATGGCCCACGAATTATGTTATAAATATCCAAATGGCCCTTGGCAGAAAAAAGGTTCCCCACCTCTGACGTACACGAATGTATACGTGTAGGTAATTGAAAGAAAAACTCAAATAAAATAACTTTATCGGTACAGAGGCTACCACAAGGCCATGCGGCAGGGCGTGTGGCACAGTTTGGGACCAGCTATCATCAGTGTGGTCGTGTCACTACAGTTCTCTGGAATGTCTTTAAAAACGACGCCATGCCTCTAGAAATAAATTGAACGCTAACCACTTGTGCGTTCCGAGATTCAGCAGTGAAGGGGACCCACCCTGTAACGTGCAGTCGTGCCAGAACGAGAAAGGGTTAAATAAAGTAATCGGGCGTGGGGGCAGGTAGGAAGGACCCACGCAAGCAAAAATGGACGATGATCGGCGGTTGCCAAAAACGATGTCGTGGCTGCCAAAGGAGGGAACACACCTGACAGCACGTCTGTCACGGAGACAGAGTGATTAAATCAAGCTCATCCGCTGGATGGATTGTTGCAAAGCAGGACCGCGAGAGATGGCGACGGCTTTGGAGAGGCCTTTCATCCAATGCCTGACGACGGACGGTGTCTTACGCCGTTACGAATGTTCGCGTAGCTATTAACGAAGTGGAGGCAGCACGTTTCCTCGCACCATGTTGAAGGAGTTTCCGCGGCAACCGGCGGATATACAAACTGATCGTGAACAATCGCATCCCTCTTTTCGCGAGTGACAAGAGCTGCACGTTATTACACAAGCGGAAGAACGGAAAAGGGAGAGAGGGGGCCCTTTCACATCAAACGCTCTCATTTTTTTCCTTTTAACCATTTTTGTAAAAATTCCTCCAGACCCACGCCGCAAAGCGTAATCAGATATTCTGAGTGAAAGGCTGGTCTCCATTGGCCATGTCTTGTTTCCTCTAATTACCGCCAGCTTGCACCACGTGCAACCGGGCAGCTCAATGCATTCTCTAACTGTAATAATCATTAACGTCTATTTTGGCGTTCACAACAAAGACCTGCTCGTATAGCCTGAACAAGACTTTTGGGGCAAGTGCTGTTCGTGAGCACCTAAGAAGGCTGGCATGGCACATGATGCGTTTGGTAGCCAGCACTACGCCCAGCCACCACCTTTGTATCCCCAGTGGCAATGTTTACACACCGTACCAGGTACTCATTTGAGGCTGAGTTGATCTAGGGGAGGCCCAGGCCCAGTTCAGATAATCATGACTGCTCATGGTGGCTGTGAGCGGGAATCGAACTCGAGTAACTGGATTCGTAGAGTAGCGCGCCAACCACTGCTCCATTTGGAGCGGTTCAATTAGTTCAGATGACGCTATTTTTTTGGCCTTTGACCTATAAGGGGAATGTGCAAAGTTAATTTTTTGGAACCAGATTTTTTTTTAAATCCACCGTGATACCCTCAAAATATTTCAACTTTTCCATTTTGTATAAAAAATTTTACTTAATAAAGTGGTGGAAAATACATCGGTTGCTCGTTCATAAATTGAAGACTTTAAAAAAGTATAGCTGCAAAAATCAAACAGGTTTTGTACTGATGAATAAACCAGCCTACAATGCTGCCTTAAGTTAAAACGGCCCGTTTCATTACTACTCTATTCTTTTTAAACTCAATAAATATAATGTCACTGTCTCCCTTACGTAGACAGCACATCATGTGCTATGCAAAAGGCCCACAAAAAAAGTAGGGCCCGAGAAGGGCCATTGCCCGAAACGTAGCCTGCAATATATATTTCTCCTTTTAAAGGCCACAGGGTTGTTGAGGAGAATGTGTCGCATTTCTGCACCATTGACGATGGATGCAGCGTCACCAAATATTTTTATACGACTAGTAAGGCAACGCCATGTAGAGGGCGCATACATATTCCCTCTACGTTCATCCTTAACCTGCACCGTGGATGGGCGAGGGGTAGCTGTCCCCCCCCCCCTCAGTGTTCACCTGCATTACCCCGCGTTACCCAGCATTCCCCCACGTGAACGCGCGTTTCCCTGCATTACCCAGCATTCCCCCACATTATCCTGCATTACCCAGCATTCCCCCACATTATCCTGCATTACCCAGCATTCCCCCACATTATCCTGCATTACCCAGCATTCCCCCACATTATCCTGCATTACCCAGCATTCCCCCACATTATCCTGCATTACCCAGCATTCCCCCACATTATCCTGCATTACCCAGCATTCCCCCACATTATCCTGCATTACCCAGCATTCCCCCACATTATCCTGCATTACCCAGCATTCCCCCACATTATCCTGCATTACCCAGCATTCCCCCACATTATCCTGCATTACCCAGCATTCCCCCACATTATCCTGCATTACCCAGCATTCCCCCACATTATCCTGCATTACCCAGCATTCCCCCACATTATCCTGCATTACCCAGCATTCCCCCACATTATCCTGCATTACCCAGCATTCCCCCACATTATCCTGCATTACCCAGCATTCCCCCACATTATCCTGCATTACCCAGCATTCCCCCACATTATCCTGCATTACCCAGCATTCCCCCACATTATCCTGCATTACCCAGCATTCCCCCACATTATCCTGCATTACCCAGCATTCCCCCACATTATCCTGCATTACCCAGCATTCCCCCACATTATCCTGCATTACCCAGCATTCCCCCACATTATCCTGCATTACCCAGCATTCCCCCACATTATCCTGCATTACCCAGCATTCCCCCACATTATCCTGCATTACCCAGCATTCCCCCACATTATCCTGCATTACCCAGCATTCCCCCACATTATCCTGCATTACCCCACATTATCCTGCATTACCCAGCATTCCCCCACATTATCCTGCATTACCCAGCATTCCCCCACGTGAACGCGCGTTTCCCTGCATTACCCAGCATTCCCCCACATTATCCTGCGTTACCCAGTGCTCCCCCGCGTACCCCCCATCGCTGTAATCACCGCAACCGCTCGCCATGACTCCCGAGCGTCGCCCCGGCACCCACTCACGTTCGCACTGGACCAGGTCGAGGTTGAACTGCTGGATCGCCCCCATGGTCACTTGCTTCACCTCCACGTCCAGGATCTGCTGCAGGAGCCTCGACGCCAGGTGCTTGCTCGCGGACATGCAGGCGGTCTGAGCCACCTTGCCCTGAGGAGAAACGCGACCAGACACAAGCACACGCGTCGGTCGCGGTCGTGTAAACACGGGGCACGTACGTACAACGGACGCATCGTTTCATAAACATTTTGACATTAGCGATACACGCGTCATCTAGTTCGCGCGCACGTGTGCGAGGGAGAACGGATCGTAACGATTTACGTAAATGACGTGCAAAAAGGATAACAACAGCCGACGGATCTGTATGACTGATACGAGGTGGGGGGGGGGGGGGGAGTTAAAACGGTCACACAAACGAGACAGTAAAGAACAAGACAACAAATGATCGATTATTGAAACGGTGAATTGTGATGACTTATCGAATCGCCGCGGGCAATCCGCTTTGAGCGATTGGCTCATTGCAACGCCCAGCAGACACCATCAATGAGCAGGCATCTCCGGAGGACCACTGGTGCTTGCACGAGTCCTCGATGTGCATTTCAATTTAAAGGTTTCCAAAAGTTTTATTTGATATGCAATGTCACCACACTCAAGGGGGGTATAAAACTACAGTTGCAAACAAATTAAGAGATTAAATCAGATAAAATACACTTAAGGGAGAGCGAGGAGGAAGGAGTGAGTCTTGAAGAAAATTTGAATTTAAGGTAAGCATAATCCATCACCTCATACGTGCATACATATGCATGTATACAAACAATACGTTATAGACCTATGCAAATACGATTCTAAGTGAAGGCCTCATCATGCCAGGTCAGTCATTAGGAGTTTGACCACACATCACCATGGCAGGTCGGTCCAGGTTGGTAGTTGGGGTTCCAAGACCAGCTCAGATTTCATTTTACACTGATTGTCAGCCGTGGCCGGGTATCGAACTAAGGTGGTCGGATTTCCATTTAAAGCTTTAGTGACTGCAAGGATTCATCTTCTTTGGTTCTTTCGGTAAAGTCACGTAGAATGAGATTAAATAATAAATTGATAAAATAAAATAACACAATAAAATTATCACGACGTTTCGGCCACAACACAAGCGGCCTTCATCAGGTGAAGGGACGAGACTGTCTGGAGGACAGCGCTGGAGTGATTTCGGCGCTGTCCTCCAGCCAGTCTCGTCCCTTCACCTGATGAAGGCCGCTTGTGTTGTGGCCGAAACGTCGTGAGAATATTAGTGTGTTATTTTATTTTATCAATCTATTATTTTATTCTCATTCTACGTGACTTTACCGAAAGAACCAAAGAAGATAAGGTGGTCGGGTTAGATGGGCAGCGAGCGAACCACCGTGCCAATGCTCCCCATCCTATGTATGCAAACAAAAAAATATGAATCATCATCATCAGAGTTACTTTTGTTTTTAAATCTACAAAGCAACAGAACAATAATCTAAAGAATGCTTAGTTCAAAGGAAGGACAACTAATGGCAAACAAAAACGGACATCTAAATAAACAGAACATTTAATTATAATCTACGTCCATTAATTACATGGTTTATTTCATTACATACACTGGCACATTTCTGTACGTGATTAGTTCTGACATAATTGAGAATTACTGCGGCAGTAAGAGGTGGGTGCCGCGGTGGCGAGATGTTAACTAGATCTCTCTCCTGATATGTAGGAGGTTGTGGGTTTGATCCTGATCTGTATATTTGGAGTTTACATGTGTTCCCCACATTAGAAACACGCGTTTAGAGTATTTGGCTGCTACAGATTTCCACGTGATAGGCCACTTTGTTGAATTATCATATGTGGCCAGGTTGCTTGTAAAAAAGAGCTATATAGCGCAGAGGGCCTTACCTAGTAAAATAAAAATGTATAATAGAATAGGTATTAATGCGCAGGCCTTGCAAGCTACCACTTAAGTGCATGCAGAGGCTCATGGAACCGCACCCAGCATGAAGTCACCGAGGTTAAGCAGAGGGGGGCATGGGCTAGGGCTAAATAATTTAACCTTTAATGTCCATAACAGGGAGGACCAAAGGTCATATTATATAGACACTGCCACCAACTGCAACCAGATTCAGGCGTGCGTTCCAGCCAATGAAACCGATTGTTGGCCAGGATTATTTATCTTGTTGTAGTTGTCAATATTATCGTAATGATCATCATCCTTAACCAACTGAATGGCCACAATCGCAATTTAGTCAAATTTAATTTGAGCCAGGAAGTATCCCTCCCATGAGAGGAGAAGGCCACATCGAGTGACGAAGACGATACACAATCGAGAATAAGTGTGAGCAGATTTTATTCAGTTTTAGCCCAGACATTGGTGCGCAATCACTAACGTTTTGCCAAAACGTCCAGGGATGTTTAGAATTTACACAACCAATCGGGGGATCAGAACCGGTTCTCCCCTCCGCCCCCCTTCATTCACCTACACTGGACAAAATGGTGAAGTTTGGTAATAAAAAAAATGCCACGACTGGCATTGCGTGCGGAGGCCCTCATCCAATGGTGGACTAAGAATGGCTGGAATGTATCTATCTACCTGTCTATAAAAATAAAGAAATGTGTGAGCTCTTCTCTCTTACATCTTCAATAGTGCTGCTCATTGCTGGCCGCTAGGAGATTTGGGCCTTTGGGCTTACGCTCCGCCAGCTAATACAAAAAAGATTAACACACACAGTACATGTGATTTCATTTTATTTGCGTGTAACAAAGAAGGGCCTGAATCATTGCCAAGAATATATGTATGGTTCCTTTTAAGGCCACGGTATTTTTTCCGAATGCGGAGAGCTGCTTATTTATTTGTTTGTTCAGGCGACCTCACGCAGCGCGGGGCGAGATGGAACACGCGAAACCGTGGCACCCGTCCGGCTCCGCGTCCCTCGCCGCAGGACGGCGCCGCCACAGCGGGACGGGGGCACGCCGAGCGGTGCCCGCCGAGGCGCTCGCCGCGGCCGCCAACGCCTCCGCGCAGCACGCGGGTTCGGCGAGCCGAACGCGCGCTTAATCAGAACGGCGTGGCCGCCGATCGCACGGGGGCCCCTCGCGAACGCGCGCCAGGCGCTCGCGTGCTGACGACGCGAGAGATTCAAGCGTGAGCGTAAAAAAATACTGAGGTGTCATCTATCGTGGAAGAGCAGTAATCTCTTTGGGGAATCGTATAATGAGAATAGAAAGTATTTGAAACATGGGAATGTGTCGTAACGCTTGCTCTGCAATGCAAGCTTGGATCGCCATCGAACAAAGATGGTCATTGCATGGCGCAATTTCAGATGCGCTTCTGCGGCCGTCTGCACTGCTCTTCCTTCCGATATTAGGAAGCCACTGCAGTAATGCACTTTCAAATCTCGATTGAAAACTAAATTCTTTTTAACTGCTTTTTGTGTTTAATTTCTTGTCCTTCCCCTGCACCTCCGATTATCACGGTAGGGCTACGTACGGTGCAAAAGAATTTCAACATCCATGCATACAAGTTAATGAGATTGTGAGAGCACTAAGTTGACGGCGTGAATACATTACGAGCGATACCCACAATGCCTATCACCCCGGGGTGCAGCGGTGGCGCAGAGGTTGGCCCCACTGTGCCACGAACCCAGCGAACTGCGTTCCTGGCGACGCTTTTACATAAATGGAGAGCGATATCTAAGCCAGTCGTGGGCTTTCCCGCTCCCCAAACCAGCACTGACAAGCATGGTCAAGTATTATCAAACTCCCATGACGGACACAGCGTAAGGGAGACCTTCATCCAGAAGTAGGTTGACAAAGGGCTGGAATCGTCAAAATAAAAAAATAAAAAAACCCACACTGTCACTGTGGATCCTGAGACACGAACCAACCCCTGAATAAAAGGCTGGGTGCTTCAGCCAAACAGAACGTGCCACCACACATTAATACAAACGTATTTGAGGGAAACAGACAGGTCCATGTGTGGGCACTAGAAAAAGAATTTCTCCCGATGATTTGTGAACTTTTCAAACGCAGTTTCAAACTGTCCCCCGCAGAGTGTCTACAAAGAAGAATGGGCGCGCCTTGACGGCAACGGCGATTTATCAACTTGGAGCGATTGTGTGCGAGACGTTTCTTAACTTGAAAGCTCGGGCTCAAATTAACCATGAAAACGGGAGCTTTTAATGGCCGCGCTGAGCGAGTCCGGCACGGCTGTCGGAGCAAAGCGGCTTTATTCTTTAATGTTGAGAAATTACTTTATCATTCACGTAATGGCTTGTACCGACATCATAGACTCCTTCTTTCTGCATTCAAAGCGACTGTGCCATAAACACTGTTTAACGGCACATTAAAATCTCACACTTGCCAATGTCGTAGAAAATACCACAGAGGCCAGTGTCATTTCCATGAACTCCTTAAATTTGGATTCTGTTTAGCGGTAGAAATAAAAATAAGCTTCATGACCAACTCAGTTGTCATGATCATCATCGACAATTGCTTAATTAATAGAAGCTCGCATGAAGAGCACAGGACTTATTTACACACTTTTTTTAAAAAAACGGGCAAACTGCAAGCAAAGGTGTAAAACTTTTCCGTGACAAGACACCAAACGGCGACTTACCTGGTGGGACATTTAACCTGTGAGGTGCTACGCTAAGCAAACAAACACCGAGAAAAGGAACGCGAGCAGAAATGCGGCATGGAGAGTAAATTCCAACAGCATGCCAGAATAAATCACGGTCCAAGGCGCACAGATCATGCGCACAGCATCCACAGGTGCTCTTTGAAAATTAAGGAAACCTGCTCAGTAACAGTCAGAAGAGTTCAAAGGGCAGCAGACAGACACACACACACATTCCATGGGGCCAGAATCTCGGTGCCCCCGAAAGAAAGGTGGTGTGTGATGCGATGAAGACAGAAATTACGAAATGGATTGCTCTTCAAAAAGCACGTGCTACTTTAAATTGTGAACGTCAGCTACATTTCTATCACTGGTGACAAATTTCAGAATGATTGTCGTGATGGTGAATTTATCGGCATCATCAGACACTTGAACACATTACCATTATATATTTGTTTAAATATTATAAATGGTTTTACTTCAAAGTTGTTCAATGTAATGGAAGATTAAACAAAGTATGAAT